GATAGACATTTCCAATGCAGTCTTTAAACCTTTGACAAGAAAAATATTTGCATATCCACCAACAGTGGATTCAAGGAGGGAAAACTCCTTGAATTTACTACTTCTGAACAAAACATCCTCTCAAGAGAGCATGGAGCAAAGGCTGTAGAGTCTATAGCATACTGAACGATTTTAATGTTACAGAAACTACAGAAGAGGACACAAAACAAGCACTAACAGAAGTAGATTAAGCTATTGAGTGAAGGAGGTACTGATATTAGATGCAGTATCTATATATGATGACATTATCATTCAAGTCTTGTGTTAAAGCTGGAGAGAACTCAAAGTGAAGCGACAGGAAGCAGAAGCATGGTCAAGCAACATTTATTTACAGTTTACCAAAGAACATCATGAAGTGTTTGAGACAGAGAAGCAGAATGAGCTGGTAAAAGGATTGGAGCTGGCAGCGTGCACACAGAGCGAAGGCTAATCCGAGCCAGTGAGAGCAGAGAGGGACACTCAGACACAAGTAATCTGTGCAAGCTGGAGACCAGAGGAGGTCCACTCCAGGAGTGGATCAGCAAGGAATTAGCAAGAGGTTTAGTGAGTGGCTCGAGGAACTGAACGGCTGATTATGTGATTGGGCAGCATGCTGGAGCTAAGGACCGGTATTTGAGGCAAAGATGATTGCAGATGATTGGCAGCTGGAAACTCAAGCCACCAAGCAACTGATTCCACTCCTGTAATCAAAGCAGGGCATGTGGAGAAAGATCCGGATTTGGGAAAAAGGCTTAGCCTGGAGAAAAAGTAGTATAAATTCACACCTGTTCTTTTTATATGTTCGAGGCATAATTATGCTGTGGCTGTCTTTTAATCTTTTAATCCTGCCAAAATTTGCTTAAACGTTGTCTTGCACACACTGAACAGCTGATTAGAATTTGCTGGCCAAACATCAATGCAACCAGTCAAGACTACAGCCACAAAATGTCTAATAAAATAGCATTTTAAAGCCAGAAGGTCGATGGTCACCTGTGCTTTGCCATAGTGTTGTTCTTCAAAAACACTTTTTTGGCCAATATTTGGCGCCATACGCACACAGAAGCAGAGGGTGAGACTGTGACGATATTTCACCTTCAGTCAGATGCTGATCTGGTGATGCTGACCTTTTGTATCCACCGATTAATAAATTCGTTCAGCGTCTGCACTGCATGTATCTTGAGTCTGGACACAATCAGAAGTACATTCCAACTTTAGTATATGGATGGAGTCACACAACTGCAAAAAGGTAATATTAGTTAGCAACAACCAATCCTAAAGTTCATGCCAGGCTTGCGGCAGTTTTTCAAATTCTTCATTCTGTATTTGGTGGTGAATAGATGAACAAAAGTAAGAAACGCAAACAGAGAAGATAACATCACATTTATAGAGGTATGATAAAATGAACATGATATCATGAAAATTAACAGAGCTGGGGTTTATAATGGATCTACAAAAAAACACCATCTAGATGTTAGTAATGCAAGTTTCATTCAGATTGGCCCACCCATTAAGGTGGAGAAAGGGCACATACTCTGTAAGAAGATTATTGTTCTCACTTAACACAAGTAATTGTTAACGTGGCCATGTCACTACTCTAAAGTCATATGGGGCAAGAGCAGTAAGACAGGCCAACAGCTCAGCTGGATTTCTAAAATAAAGAACATACACTATGTGGACAAAAGGATTAGGAAACGCCTTTTAATTCAGGTGCTTTCAGTTTCATTGCCACAGGTGTATAAAGTCAAGCACTTAGCCATGCAGTCTGCCTTTACAAACATTTATGAAAGAATCGGTTCTGTAACAGGATGCCATCATAGCAACAAGTCAGTTTGTAACATTTTCTGTGACATCTATAAATTCCACGATCAGCTGTAAGTGTTGGTAGACCACGTATAGTTCATAAAAGACGCCAACTCTCTGCTGACTCAGTAACTGCAGAGCTCCAAACCTCTGTCATTAACATCAGCACAGAAACTGTGCACCAGGAGCTTCATGGCATGAGTTTACATGTCGAGCAGCTCCTGTTGGTGGAACATCGTGTTGGCTAAGTTCTTTGGTCCATATAATGTGTGTAGATTAGTATGCACCAAACAGGGAGTTGGCATTAAGGGAGTTAAAGTTTATTTAGCTGAACTTAAGGTAAGAACCTCCTATCCTTCCACATTTCCTTTAAGCAACGAAGCAGATCTCTAAAATGGTTATTCCTCTGTGTTTACTGTAACATACAGCTGAAATAATCCACCTTTCATTAATTCATCTTCACCAACATTAGAATGACGTTCCTTGTATGTGTATCTCTGTGTGTCTGAGTGTAGATGCTCCATGGTGTGGACACTGCAAGGAGTTGGCTCCCATCTGGGATCAGCTTGGTGAGAAATATGCCGACCATGATGACATCATCATAGCCAAAATAGACGCCACAGCCAATGAAGTGGAATCTCTTGACATTAAGAGTTTCCCAACACTCAAATACTTCCCAGCTGGTGACAAAGAGGTAAACACACACGCACGCACACACACACGCACATGCGCACACACACACACGCGCGCGCACACACACACACACACACACACATGCGCACACACACACCTCTACACACTGCATTCTTTCCTTTTCTCTCAGGTGATCGAATACACTGGAGAAAGGGACCTGGAGACATTTTCTAAATTCCTGGATGGTGGAGGAGTTTTACCTAAAGAGGAAAAGGATGAGGATGACGACGACGATGATGATGATGATGATGATGAGGATGAGGTGGATGAGAAGAAGGAAGCCGACAAGGCTGCTGGCGATAGCAAGGTTTGTGTTAACGCTGCAGATTTATGCTGTTTTTCTTTTAAAAATAATCCACAGTTCACACGTTTTCCTCTTTTTCAGGAGCCCAATGAGTCCGCAGAGGAAAAGACCAACAAAACATCCAAAGATGAGCTGTAATGTCACTTTTTGGCCAATCAGGATCAACCTAGCAACTTTGAATTTTCTTAATAAAAGTGATACAGGTTTAAAGTGTTGGCTTTGTTGTGAAAAAGCTTTAAACTTTTTGTCTTGATGCTTGCTTCTTTATATGTCTGTTGAGTGCTTCACACGGCTGAATTTGAAACGTTCAACACAGACGGTAATATTTATAGAGACTCTCCAAATGTGTCATAAAATTGAGCTTCAGCAGGATTACGAGGACACGATGGACCAGGATCAAGGTTGGACGTAGCAGTGCAGTGAAAAGAATTTCTTAGAGATTTCTTGGAAACGAGTCACATAATGATTTGTTCTGTGAGTTTCTTTGTGTACAAACTGTGATCAGCTGACTTGTGCTGCTGCTCTGATATTCACTGCTCTTTATCTTGAATTCAACAAGACATAACTGTATGTGTTGTGAGCTATGTGGCTTATTTCTAACCCCCTTAATATGATAAATCTAGTGTAAAAAGTAGAAACCAGTCTAATCAGCATCACCTCAAATATAAATTAATGTCTGCTACCCTTTATCACTGTGTGAGAGGTATTTGTTATACAATATGGAGGACTCAGGCATAGAACTGAACTCAGTTATTGCTGAACTTACATGAGACTGAATAGAAAGACTAAGCAGACATGTGGGAATACAAGCTAGGAAACTACACAGGAACTCACAGGACACACAGCTTGAGGGAAAGACAAACAAGGGCTTAAACAGACACAGGAAGTAATGAGGGAGATGGAGTGCACCAGGGAGCACAGGTGAACTAAATCAGGCTAACAAGACAGAAGAAGCAAAAACACAATGCACACATAAGAGACGATCAAAATAAGACCAGAAATAAACAAACACAGAGACAGAGACCCGGACCCGAGACAAACTAGATGCAGGTAAAGACTAAATAAGCACAGAGACATGACTGACCTGAGACAACAGGGTGACCAACCATAGGGACAGGGCACAGTGAGACACAGAAGCATGACCAGGGCCATAGATGAAGATAACTAAATTTTACAGACTCAAAAGATCAAAATACAAACAGGTTACAGCAACGAGCTTGAATTTATTTATATAGTACATTTAAAACAACTGTTGAGCAAAGTGTTGTACATTTAAATAATCAAAAGAGATAAAAACATAGGAAGACATGACAAAATCTAAGAAGCATAAAGTGAGAAGATCTGAGTAAGAAATAAGACAAATAAAAGTAGTATGAACTTATTCTCATTTAAAAGCCAAGGAATAAAAGGTCCTGATGTGAAACAGCAGTTTGTTTCACAGTTTAGGAGCAGTCACGGCAAAGGCTCGATCTCCTCTGTGCTTTAATTTGGACTTTGGGACAGCTAGGAACATTTGATCTGCAGACCTCAGTGATCTTGCAGGAGTGTACCAGTTCAAAAGGTCAGAAAGGTATGAGGGTGATAACTTATGCAATGACTAGGACATGAAGAACTAGAGTGTAATCACATAATAACTCCAAGAATGAACCAAAAACCCACAAAACTGGGAGGAGCAAGAAAAACTCAAGAAACTAGGAGGTGTTAGGACCCAAAGATCCTAACACCCCTGATGTAACCTAGTAACAGTACTTCCATCCCAAATAGTGCATCATTGTAAATGTTATCACGATACAGCAAACTAACCGGTGTAGCTTGAACTAAACTGCCAGCTGTTTTCATGCAAGCTCTGAATAAGACAAAATTCGTATATTTAATTTGTTTTGGAAGACATTTTACAGACATAATTTGGCAATTTTGATCCAACATTTGGTTAAAAAACTCTAAAATGAATCAACATTAATTGCAGATCTAAATTTGATTTTCTAAAACTTCACTTGCTGAGCAGTCCTTACCTTTGCAAATAACCCCTCATCTTCTTCTCTTGCGTCACTTTAACACTGCAGCAGCTGTAGTATGGAATTGTTTTCGCTTACAATTTTTTTTTTTCGGTTTCAATCCATTTTTTGGTTTCAATCCATTTTTCGGTTTCACTCTGCTGGCACTGTTTTGGCGTCCGGGGGCGCGCTGGGGGGGCGGGGTTTCCGGCCCGCATGTATTTGCATATATTATAGAGGCCACTAGTGCTGACCAAGCTGCCATCTTTCTCTCTTCCCGTCTTTCAATGGCTGCTTCAATTTCAGCTCGAACCTCCAAACCGCAAGTAAGTAATCATTTTTTGTCATCTTTTCTTGCTGTCCCACTGGACTGGACATTAGTTTAGTTTTTTTAGCTACATCTGGTGAAGTTGTGGTAAAATGCTGGTATTAGCCTATTCGTTGTAGCAAGCTAGCCTGAAGCTAATATTTGCTAAATTTAGGGACACCCGTGTCTCTTCAGGAGTTGGAGGCCGGTGTTCTAGGAGCGGATCTCAGGATCTCAACAGGCAGTGTTGGGCAGTAACATAATACATGCACCGGCGTTACGTATTTAAAATACAAAATATGAGTAAATGTATCCGTTACAATTACTGTTCAATAGGTGATATTGAGAATACAGTTAGTTTGTTGAAATAAATGGATTACATGGCGGTATTTACCTGTTTCATATGTTAGGCTATGGTCTCTCTATTTTTTGGTAATTCCACGCCGGTGGAAACCCAAACAAAACACACAATAAGAGCCTCTAAAAATTATTATACAAAAATTATTTAATATGAAGGCAATAGCAGAGTGTTACAGTCATCGCCCTAAACAATGTAGCCTCATGGGCAGTGCTGCAGGGAGAATGGACTGCCATACCCGTTATGTGTCTGTGAGTGAGGAGGGAGAAAAAGGAAAAGTATAGCCGTCACGGAGCAGAAACAGGAGCTGGAAGCATGTAAATATAATAATAACCACTAAAGCCAAAAAGAGAGCCTGACGAGCCCAGCTGTAAGTAAGCTGTTAAGACTCGACTGTACACCGTGTTCGTGTTTTCCTCCGAAACAATAAGCAGCCTTTCAACGCCTCTCTCTGTCTCTCGCTAGCAAACTTGACCCAGACAACAAAGTAAAGCTAGTTTTCAGCTATGAGCCCGACACGAACCGGACGTATTAGCCAGAGGTCCCTTTACTACGGTTCGGAGCCGCTGACCTGTTTTATATACGTGCTGAATAGTTTTCTACACGAGATCGCTGCAGCCTTACCTAATGTCCACCCTACTGTTACTCATTTATATTAAGATTTTAACATCTAGTTGGTGTTGGTATGGCGAGTAGCCTTCAGTAATAGTAATAAATCACACAGCAATAGCACATTCATGTAGTTGTAAAGTATTCAGAATACATTACTTCTATAATCTTTGGTGGAATACATTTTAAAATTAACCTTCCCAACACTGTCAACAGGTTAGCACCTCATACCACAGTGCATCAAAGCAGTCTCATGAGCGCTGGGAAGGAGGAGCCCAGAGCCCAAAACAGACAGTGCAGGAGATGACAAGGTTAGTAATTGTATGGTGAAAATTATACTTTATCTTGATTGCCAAAAGAAAAGTAAATACAAAATCTGCTTCTCACATATAGGGCATTTCCAAAACTTCAATTTCTTTCATTACAGCTGTCCTGTGCCAGAAGTTCTGTTGACCCACAGTGAGAGGCATCATTTCAGAAACACCAGGAAGACTGAGACTCATCGCCGGGATCAAGCAGGGCTCGTGATCTTCACCAGCAGCTCCCTCACAAGAAGGATAAACCCAGCATTTCATGAACACTGATGGAGACCTTTGTTTTGTGTAATGTTAGAAGTACTCAGATAATCCTCAGAGGGTCTGGACTTTTACATAATATAATAGAATAGAATAGAATTCAACTTTGTTGTCATTGCACAGGTACAGGGCAACAAAATGCAGTTTGCATCCATCCAGAAGTGCTTTAGCCATGATATAGATATATTACAATATATATTAGCAATAGTATAGATATGTAAGTATATTACAGAAATGGGTCTATTATGGTATGTTACAATGTACACGGTATGAAATATGTTGTGAATATTCTATAACTATAAGTATGTACAGGCTGTAGTGAGTACAAACTATGTACAGGATATAAATGAGAAACTACAGAAATCTGAGATATACAGAAATGTGAACTATGCAAATTATAAACAGTTGTAGGATTAAAAATCATCATATGTACAGAATGATTATTTACACAGAACTATACAGTAGTGCAGTTAAGTAATAGCTATAAGCTATAGTAATAGCTTTAAGTCCTGTAGAAAGTTAAATATGTTGTGCTCACTGGTTACTCTGGTATGAATGACTCTGAATTACTTTATGATAAATAACACACTATTGTCAAAAAACAGTGAAAGAATTCCAGATCACAAGTTTTTAGTTCAAATACAAGTAACAACCTTTGACTTTTAATCAGGTTTTATTTAATTGTGTCAGAGAAAACATCACGTGCTCTTCATGTAGCTGAGTACATTCAGTGTTTAAAACAGAAGTTGTGCAGGTCTGAGATCAGCAGTTTTCTGAAACACCAAACTGAGGTACTGTTAATGCTGATGTATAGTGACACAGTTACAGGGGTGATTAATCCTTTTGACTTTTTGTCTTTAAATTTATCAATAAAACAGCTGCAGCTTTCACTGACAGCACATGTGGTACTTTAACCTTTGTACTGTTTTCTTCAGTTAATTTTGGAGTTACTACAAAGATTGAAGATATAGGATGATCTGTCTGCTGTCACTGGGTGGTGCTGAGGTCTGAATCTGAGGTCAGCTCCTGTAATCACAAACAACAGAATCATCACAAACTGAAATATAAAGTTTATCTCTCAAATCTGAAATACAGCTGATCCTTCTCCGGCCTCACACACTCGGGATCTGAAGTTGTTCAGTCCTACAGTTCTGCCGACAGCTGTTTATTTTTTTATTTGTTTTAAAGGCTTTACTAACACATTTTCTAATATCATGTTTACCTTTGAGTTGTTGATGCTTTATAAATGGATATCTGCAAAGATGAGATGATGGAGCAGGTTTCAGTCGAGGTTCAGTCTGCTGCTGCATCCTGGTCACAACATACAGAGGTGTTATCAGCTCAGTATTGAACAAGAAATATTAACGTTTCAAATTATTTGTCCTAAAGGATGCAAGCTGTACAGAGTACTGAACATGTGACTTTGTGAACATAATTCATTAAAAATAATTTGGACAGTTTTTTAACCTGAATATTTGTAACAAACTCAGTAAAAAAAAAAACAAAAGCTAAAAAAAATAATCAGGGGAAAAATGTAACATTTTAACTTAAGCTGACAAGCGGAAGTAGTTGATTTCAGTACATAAGTATCGGGCTTTGCTATTTAATCCGTAGCTATTGACTAATGAGGGGAATTTAAAAGTTGGCTTTAATGTCCTTCCACATGTGGAAAGCGACACAAAACATGCTGCTGTTTGCACATATTTAATAATCAGCTCTGCACAGGAGCAGAAGCAGAGTCCAGCCCGTTGCTCTTACAGTATAATACTCATAATAAAAGTACAGTAACCGTGGTTAGTCACTGAGCAGCCCGGTGCGTTTCTCTTGATTTCTTTAGTCAGGGTAAATTCATTCACCTGCACGGGTTAGCTAAACGAACTTTACAAAACATGTTTCCCCGACAGCCGAGTGCTCATCTTAGCTAGCTAGGTCCTTAGGTAGCTAGCTAAGGACCTAAATTACGGATTAGCTTACAAACACATTTAACTTACCAAAAATAATGCGGTGGGGCCTCAGGTCCTCCTGTCCGGTAGTCCAATTTACTGAAGAACACCTCAGGCTGTCACTTTGAAATAGTCGGTAATGTAAACGCTGGACCTCTCGGCATCTGCCATTCCCGAACAGACACGTGCGAGTTTGTCCGTGACCGCAGCCGCGTCGTCAGTGTTTTCTCCAGTCATTGGTCAGCATTATAATATATGCAAATACATGCGGGTCGGAATCCCCGCCCCCCAGCGCGCCCCCGTACACCAAAACAGTGCCAGCAGAGTGAAACTGAAAAATGGTTTGAAACCGAAAAATGGATGGAAACCGAAAACAAAAAAAAATTGTAAGCGAAAACAAAAAAATTACAGCTTCAATTAATTGTTTTTCACTATCAATTTTTTTTTCGGTTTCAATACAAGATTTTTCAGTACATTTATTTCAGTTACAATATTTTTTTTCGGTTTCAATCCATTTTTCGGTTTCGTTTCAAGGTGGCATCGTTCTGATTCCATACTGTAGCGCTCACAGACAATTTGTGACAAACTGGAGAGAAAAAGTTTGTGTTTCCTGATATTTGTTGAGCTGATTGAGAAGTATTTGAAATGGCTCTAGGCTTTAAAAAGTTAACTAATTCAATAATGATATGCTTTAATCTGCCTAATGATAATAATAATGCACATCCATTCACTGTTCACATGCATTTAGGTGTGCAGAGTATCCAGCTGAGGTTCAAAGTGACCATCAGAATGGGGACGAGAGGTGATTTAAGTTATTTGATGTGGCACTTATTGTCATAGTGCAAGACAGGGTGGTCTGGGAATTTCAGAAAATGGTCATCTACAGAGATTATTCACCACAACCATCTGTAGGGTTTGCAGAGAGTGGTCAGAAAAAGAGAGAATATCCAGTGAGCTGCAGCTCTCTGGGTGAAAATGCATGTTGATGTCAGAGGTCAGAGGAGAATGGCCAGACTCCTCTGAGATGAACAGAAGCAAAAGTAACTCAGATAACCACTACATACAACCAAGGTACGCAGAAGAGCATCTCTAAATGCAGCAGAAGACCGCATCACTTCTGTCTGCTAAGAACAGGAAACTGACGATACATTCTTTAAAAGTGGACAATAAAAGATTAGAAAAAACATTTCCTGGTCTGATGGGTCTCAATTTCTGTTACAACTTTCAGACGATAGGATGAGAAAAATGGATCCATTCTGCCAAGTACCAACAGTTCAGGCTGCTGGTGGATGTGTAACTGCCAAATATGCTCGACTGCCTGGCTGAATGAGGCAGTTGTATAAAACTTTGAGTACTCCAGTGGAGTAGAAAAGCGCTTTATAAAAACCAGTCCAGTTACTATCTTTCCAAAGCTTTGGGGAAAAAATGAAAAAAAAAAAGAAAGAAGGAAAAGAAAACCAAAAAAAGCACCGGTTGTCTTAGAGCATATATAAAAACTCCCTTTTAACAGGAAGAAACCTGCAGCAGAACCAGACTCAGGGAGGGGCAGCCGTCTGCTGCGAGCGAGGGAGTGAGGAGAGGAAGACAGGACAAAGGGCACACTGTGTAAGAGAGTTGGAGATTAATAATAGCTAATGACTAAATGCGGAGGTGTACGTAGAGAGAAGGAAAAAATAAGGTAAAAAAAGGAGAGGAGTGGTGACATTTACAAAAAAAATGTGAAATATTAGAAATGATTGCCAATTATTAAAAAACTTTCCATAATTGCCTCATAAAGAATGATTAGTCTTTGTGCTGGGTATCTAACAATAAATCATACTATAAAAGTTTTTTTTATTGCTGTAGATCTTGTAAATATAGTGATTCCAGCTAGTAAGCAGGTATAGACTGATTTAAGTTGAACAATCTTTTCTTCCTGCAGGGAAAACCTCTGAATAGGCAGTGGTGACTAATGAGACAAACAGGTTGGTTTTCATGTGAGACGTAAAATGTTTCCAATTCCAGGGGAGAACAGGTTTAACAGGCTGTGATGTGATGACCATGATCAGCAATGGTACGTGTTTCCTCCTGCCAGTCGTTCTTCCTCATTTGCCCAAGGTAAGACCACTGCTCCGATATATCTCACATTACACTATTTAATCAGCGGGTAATGAGCTATAAGGTTGTTGGCAGGTGTTATTGGAAATGTCTATGTGGCAGGGGCAGGTCTGTGCCTGTCTGGATCAGGTATCGGGACTTGGATGTGTCTTGTTTACATAAGAGCGAAGTCTCATGTGAGCTCGAGTGACTTGACTGCATTCAGCGGGTGCATTTCATGGCTGATACACTCGGTTTTCTCTGATATAGGGGTAGAAAAATACATCTTTGCCAGTCAGAGTTGTGTTTACATGCTGTAATAATTCTGTGTCATCTTGATAAAAAGGTGGACGATGAGTAATACACGTTTAAAAGGGTGAATATTTCACACCAGTTTAAAAACAGTGCAACTATATAGACTAACAGTCTAGATTTGACATTTGTTTCTATTTTTATAATCCCTAAAAGGGATGAAGCTGCTGATATATATATATATGGCTTCTATAGTTACATTAAAACACAACTAAGATTAATGTGTGCGGCATTATTAAAAACACTAAAGTATGTGAAGTATGAGTAAAAGACTGATTTACGCCATCACATGTTACACTGTGTGTACTGTTCTGACGCTGTCACTTTAAACCAGCAGTGCTAAACAATGAAAGACTGGATATGTAGCGCCTTTCATTGTTTAGCAGTCAGGAGGAGAGATAATGCAAGTAGCTATTACGGCAGAATCAGAGCTTCAGACTTAAAAGCAGTAATATGAGACTCAGCATCACAGAGCCTGGCATACAAAGAGCTAAACCGCCACATAAAATACTTTACAATTGACTCTTTCCAGTGCGCCCACATTAACACCAGGATAAACTGAAAGAAGCTAGTGTACACACAGCACATTTCATTTGCAATGCAAGCTGGAAAAGCCCAGGGTATAAAATGTTATTTTTTCATTCTTAAAACCTTATATGTTGGTTTTTTTTATTCATTCCCATTTTCTCCCCAGTTTCTCGGATTCAGTCCTAAACAGAGTGATTACACGTGATTCAATGTCATTTTTTTAAACAATAGTCTTTCGTAACCATGTATTAATTAATTGGATTACTGGCACTTTTACTGAGACTGTATATAATACATGTTGTCTTGTCAATAAAAAAATGTCCTTTTTGTATATAATGTACTCTTTCACATGGTCTATTTTTCAGTTTTCTATATTTTGATACTGGAGAGAGAGACTAACAAAGATAAGTCTGACTCTGACTAGATAGCACAGTGATAATAGTGTGGAAATATGAGGGAAAGGAGTGGGCACCAGTATGTGTGAACTTCAGTTTTTGTTAGTGAGCTAAATGACAAGTAATCCAGCGAAAATTACTTGGAAATAAAGTAATTTTGCTTAATTCAATAGTGTTTTCACACACGTAATGTCCTTTGTATCCTTTATGACCAGGTAAACAACTTTAAGCTGGTCATCGCTTCCACTAATCCTAAAAAGTAAAATTATAAAGTGATGCATTGGATCATGTAAATACATTTTCAATGTAAGTACAACTTTTGATAAAAGTAACTTCCCCATAATCCAGTCCAACAAATTACCCCTAAAAGAAGAACAGCAAAAGAAAAAGGGCACGACTGACTCCACGAATACTTTTATCACAATTCTGATAAGAGTCTCACATGACTCGTGTCGCATGTTAAGAACCTAACATGTGACATTAGTCGTGTGTTAAGAATCGCTAATGTGGGTTCACCAAACGCAAGATCATTGTCAACTTTTTTCCCCACCAAATACTAGAAGATTGTGACGACTTGTGAATGAAGATCAAAAATAACCTGTTTTAAAGTGATGACAAATAAGAATATATTTAATTTGTCACTGAAGGAAAAGCACAGATGTTATCAACAGCAGGAGCTACGTGACTCGATAATTGTGAAGAAGAGTCTTACATTAATGCCCTTTTGGGGTTTTATCTGGAAAGCAAGACTGTACCAAATCAAAGATATCTGGGTATAGACTTACATCGTTTTTATGTAATTAACTATCTGTGATGAAAACACACATTTCAAACTTGCTCTTATCTACATTTCTGTTTTTATCTTCATGACAGAATCCTGTTTGATCTGTTTGGATGGACCCCCCTTCATATGAGGAGGCCAGTCGCCAACCTCCTGCTCTGCCCATTGCAGCTTTTAACGCCCCCCCACCTGCCTATGACGCCTCTCTCTCATCCCCACCGACACCTCCACCTGCCTACAGAGAAGCAGGTGAGATGCTTCCTTTAACCCCATTTCTTGAGTCAGCTCGTGAGATATTGCTGACAGGATGTACACACTAACATGTGTCCTTTTCTATTTATTTTTTGGCATACTGTTTACATGACATACCAGTTTTACCAGGCTGATTTGTAGAAATGTCGTCATTAAGTGTATTCATGCTTTTACTCTGCCAGACAACCACTTCAGTGCACTCTGAAGTAAATTTAAAAAATATATATTTAAAGTAAAGTGTGGAAGGAAACCCTAGTGTGACTGCAAAATAACATGTAAACATTTCTTTTTCTTTTTTTAAATCACAGTTACAGTTCAGCCAGATCCTTTTCCTGTCCTGTCTGTGCCAACTGCCGTGTCCTCGCCTCCCCACCAAAGCACTGGAGTCATAGTCCATCCCATTACTCAAAGTATAAAGATTGCACTTTTAATATTGACTTTGTTATGTAGACCTGTTCAACTGCTCATTAACGGAAATATCAAATCAGCCAATCACATGGCAGCAAACCAAGGCGTTTAGGCATGTAGGCATGCTCAGCAAGTTCAGTTCAGTCTCTATGTGCTGCACGCTGGTTTCACAATGTAAGAGGCTCAGTCCATATGCTGTCTGTAGTCTACTCACCAAATGTTTGTATTTTAACCCCACAGTGCCTGTCGTATCATATTTAATTCATGAGTTTTTGTGAGTTTTTGAGACTTCTACATCATCACAGTGATCCCCGTGGAAAGCCTGTCTAAACAGCACTAGAGAGAGAGAAACAAATGTAACAAATATAATTTCAAAGTAAACTCATGCATGCAAATGAATATGTTTTTTCTCAGAAGGTTCACAATATTTTCAAAAATCTTGAACTTTCTGGCAATTATTTCATGGTTCAGACTTTAAAGGGTCAAAGTGTAAGTATTTAAAAAGCTACATTAGGTTAAATTTTGGTTTTTCTGTGTTACAGTTAATCCGCATGCTTCTCGTGCTCGCGCTGCAGCTTCTGCTCCAGCTGCTGCGTCCTCGCGTTCCCGACAAGGCAAGTATCAAGACTACATCTTTACTATAAGCATGATCTCTTTACTGCTATTTACACTTACTGGCCACTTTGTTAGGTACACCTTTTCATCTGACTGTCAATGCAAGTATCTCATCAGAAAATCACAGGGAGGTAACTAAATGCATTTAGGTATGCAGATATGGTCAAGATAACGTGCTGAAATTGAAAAGGAGCATCAGAATGGGGGAGGAAGGTGGCATTCGTGGCTTTGAATGTGACACGGTTGTTCTCGTCAGACAGGCTGGTCTGAGTATTTGAGAAAAAGCTGATCTCCTGGGATTTTTCCACACAACCATCTCTAGGGTTTACATAAAATGGGCCAAAAATATCCAGTGAACAGCAGTTCTCTGGATCAAAATACCTTGTTGATGCCAGAGGTCAGAGGAGAATAGCCAAACTGTTTCTAGCTCATAGAAAGGCATCAGGAAACAAGATATGCAGAAGAGCATTTCTGAACACACAACATGTCGATCCTCGAGGCAGAAGACCGCACTGAGTGTCTCTCCTGTCAGCTACGAACAGGAAACTGAGGCTACAGTTTAAACTGGCTCAACAAAATTGAACAAGAGAGTCAGTCATTTGGTCTAAGTAAGTAAATACATTTTATTTCTATAGGATATTTAAAACCAAAATGTGTTACACAAAATAAAACAGAATAAACAGGTTCCTATAAAAAAAAAACAGCAGCTAACAGCAGCCAATCCTCCAATCACAGCTCAACAATTCAACTGTTTCACAAGTCTAACAGAAAAGGCAGCTCAGATTTAAAAACAGTCTTCACTGATGCTTGCATGAGGTCATCTGGGAGGTCATTTAAGAGTTTTGATGCAGCAACAGCAAGGACACAAGCTGCTTTTGAAATAAGCTTTGACTGCAGGGATTATCAGGAGTAACAGAGAAGCAGACCCTAACGATATGCACGCAGCATAAACACCACATATACAAAGCTCAAATCATCTCAGACGGGTTTTCCTGACCATATGGCCTCCATAGTCATCATATTTCAATTCAACATCTTCATGATGTGGTGGAACAGAAAATTTGCATCATGGATGTGCAACAGCTGTGTGATGTCATCATGTCAATATGGAGGAAAATCTCTGAGGAATGTTTCTGGCACCTTGTTGGAATCTTGCCATGAAGCTGTAAAGGCAGTTTTGAAAGGGAAGAGGACGTCCAACCTAGTACTAGCTAGGTGTACCTAACAAAGTGTCCAGTGGGTGTATAAGCCTCTGCCTTACTTGTTCTTCTCTCCTTCTAATAACTTCATCTGTCTCCTGAATGGCAGCTGGTGCCGCATCGCGTGTCAACAGCAGACAAACTCAGCCGATAGCAGTAGTGAGCCAGCCGCAGCCTGTTCCCATAGCGGTGGAATATCTGAGAGGCGCCCCTGGTTTGGTACGCTGCCCACACTGCAGTCATCTTGTAACCAGTAAAGTCACACATGTACCTGGGACAGCTGCTTGGTGCTGGTGTGTCATTCTTGCAATGGCGGGGTAAGAGCCCCAAACACTCACACAGGAGGAGTATTGCATGTGCACCGGCGCTAAACGAGCTTGAGCACAGCTTCATTGGTGTTTTCTGTGCTTGTGTTTCAGGCTCATCTGCGGTTTCTGTCTCATTCCATTAATGGTACGGGGAATGCAAGACACACATCACTCCTGCCCACAGTGTGGAAACCCTCTGCACGTGCACAAAAGATGACCCTGTGAGGATTAATTAACCTTACACATCGAAGTGTGGACAAATGAACTAATGAACTTGTGATGCTAGTGTGACATCTATGGCAAACGAATACTTTACACAGATGATGGCTGAGGAGAGGCCCGGAGTCATGTGGAGACTTTTGTACAAACTCTCCCAGACTGTTACAGAGGACCTCCAGGTCACCACACACACTACCACAGCTGGTAGCTGTACTGAGACATTTTTCCTTTTTTTCACACTTTAGGCTCACAAGCAGAAAAGCATTTCTAGGACGTAAATATGAAAAAGAAATTACACAAAAACACTTTTCGCACTTTCTAATTTTGTACAAATGTATTACAGTGTGAGTTCATTATGATTAAATGACACACAGCAATAACACTTTACACTCCCCTAAAGACAGTGCAGGACAGTCCTTCTTCATTGCAGACAATGGGATGAGACAGTTTAATGCAGCCATGTTTAACCACATTTGTCCAAATTCTAACATGAAAAGAGTTTTACAGCTCTGCACTAAATTCTTTTATCATTTATAATTAAGCTTTCATTGCTTTTTAATCAAACTGACTGATTTCTATATCTGAAAACGAAAAAAAAACAAAACTTTGATGTTTTTTAGCTTTACTGCAGGTACAACTGAAGTTTTTAAAGTACCTTTAACTGCCTAACTACACTATTTTACTCTTAGTGATAGTTAGAAAAAAGGTTATGTGGTTTAAATTATTATATTTATTACATCTGTTATTATTTCATGTGAGAATGGTGACCTAACTCTGCTGCACTGCTTTCTAAGCAGCTGTAATCAGTCAGTGGGACTGACTCATTCTGTCGTGTGGCCAAATGCCAGCCACTCCTGATTGAAACCTGTTCCTGAACTGATTTACAGGACTTCTATTTACTTAGCAACATATAAAAGGTTTGTTTACACCAGCAATGTTTACTCTCTGACAAGCAGACCTATAAATGTTTAGCTTTACAAATATGTTATGTGATCAAAAAAATTCATAAATAAATAGAAATCCTTAAAATACCTTAATGGTTGTGATGCGTTGGAAATCTATCACATAGAAATGGTCCAAAGAAAGTACACCCTCTTCAAATTCCAAGTATTTACATATCAGGGGATAATAAAAATTTTGAAAAAAGGTTGGTCTTTAGCAGGTCTTGAAGTTGAAGACTTGATAGGTGATAAATCAATGAGATATTACCCTCTGTCATCATTTAATTAGCAAAAAATAAGCCAAAATGCAGAAGCAGTGTGTGAAAAACTAAGTACAACATTAGTGTTTCTATAGAAAGTTGGATTGCACTTGATTAACTGATGACCGCGGGTGAGCACCTCTATAAATGCAGAGGTTTTTGGTGTTTGCTACTCTGAAGCATTCAGGTGTGTGTTAGCACACAACAAAGATGACAGACAGTGATCTTAGAGAAATAGTTTTTATTTTCCATCAATCTGGAAAGGGTCGCAAGGTCATTTACCAACAATTTAAAGTCCTTCATTTTACAGTGAGGTAGAAAACATTCAAGACAGCTGCCAGTCATCCCAGGAATGAACATCCCAGCAAATTCACCCCAACATACAGAAGAGCCAATAATCAGAGAAACTGCAAGAGCTGCATCTCATACTCTACAGGCCTTGGTTAAATGTTACACTCCATGGGAGTACAATTAGAAAAAGACTGATCAAGTATGACTTGTAAACCTTTAGAGTAGAGTGGAATAAAATTCCTCCACAATGGAGAGAGGGAAAGTGATACAGAAAGTGATTACTTTTAGAATAGAATAGAATAGAATTCAACTTTATTGTCATTGCACATGCACAGGTACAGGGCAACGAAATGCAGTTTGCATCCATCCAGAAGTGCTTTAGTGATATAGATATATTACAATTAATATTAGCAATAATATAGATATGTGAGTATATTACAGAAATGGGTCTATTATGGTATGTTATAATGTACACGGTATGAAGTATGTTGTGAATATTCTATAACTATAAGTATGTACAGGCTGTAGTGAGTACAAGCTATGTACAGGATATGAACAGGATATAAATATGAAAAACTATACAGAATATGAAATGAATAACTTTACAGAATCTGGGATATACAGCTATACAGAAATGGGAACTATGCAAGTTGTAAACAGTTGTAGGATTAAAAATTATCGAATGTACAGAATGATTATTTACACAGAGCTATACAGTAGTGCAGTTAAGATAAGTGAGATATAATTCCTACAGAGGCTATATAAAGTGCTAGTGGTTGTGAGTGGTGGTTCAGTCCATGTTATTATTGTGTTTGAGGGTACAGTTGTCCATTGTGGGTGTGTGTATGTTCAGTCCATGAGTTTAACGTGGGTCAGATGTCAGGAGGCAGAGTTCAGGAGTCTGACAGCTGTGGGGAAGAAGCTGTTCCGGTACCTGGTGGTCTTAGTCCGGAGGCTCCTGTGGCGCCTCCCAGAGGGCAGGAGGGTGAAGAGTCCATGTGATGGGTGACTGGGGTCTTTGATGATTTTCCCAGCCCTTTTCAGACACCGCTTCCTGTAGATGTCTTTTATGGCAGGAAGTGGTGCTCCGGCGATGCGCTGGGCAGTTTTCACGACCCTCTGCAACGCCTTCCGGTCCGAGGCAGAGCAGTTCCCGTACCAGACTGTTATACAGTTGGTCAGGATGCTCTCGATGGTGCAGCGATAGAAGTTCACCAGGATGTCTGAGGACAGGTGGTTCTTCCTCAGAGTCCTCAAGAAGAAGAGGCGCTGGTGAGCCTTCTTGACCAGCTTGGAGCAGTTGGTCGTCCAGGTGAGATCCTCGGAGATGTGGACTCCCAGGAACTTGAAGCTGCTCACACGCTCCACAGCCGTCCCCTTAATGTGGATGGGTGGATGTGGGTCAGCATTCCTCCTGTAGTCCACGATGAGCTCCTTGGTCTTCTCGGTGTTAAGCAGCAGGTTGTTTCTGTCGCACCACTCAGCCAGACGATCCACCTCCTCCCTGTAGGCGGCCTCATCGTTGTCACTGATGAGGCCAATCACCGTGGTGTCATCTGCAAACTTAATGATGGTGTTGGAACCATCAGCAGGTCTGCAGTCGTGGGTGAAGAGGGAGTAGAGGAAAGGGCTCATCACACAGCCTTGTGGTACACCGGTGTTCATTGTGATGGTAGATGAGCAGCGGTTATCCAGCCGGACATGTTGGGGGCGGTTGGTCAGGAAGTCCAGTAACCATTTGCAGATGAGGGAACTGATACCCAGGTCTGTCAGTTTCCTGA